GTTTCAATTTTTCTTTTCTTTTTGCTTAAGTAAAAAATGTTCAACTTAGTACATTATGTATAACATATGTTATACATATTTAAACAATATCCCAATTATTATGGCTATCAGTTTTCTCAAATATACCATCCAACATCTTAATAAAAATTGATTCATTATGTCCATTATTATATTTTCTTTTTACTTGGTCTAATTTAACCTTTTCTTTTATCATTCCACTGCTATTCCCAGTGTAATCATCTTTATCTTTTCCACTGTTAATCCCAGTGTAATCTTTATTCCACTGCTATTCCCAGTGTAATCATCTTTGTTTTTTCCATTGTTAATCCCAGTATAATCATCTTTTTTTCACTGTTAATCTCAGTATAATCTCTAGAAACCTTCTTTTATCATTCTACTGTTAATCCCAGCATAATCATCTTTTACTTGAATAAATACATTAAGAGTATTCAAATTGTTAAAATTGTTATTATATAGTTATTATACCCATCAATTTTCTCAAGTAATACCTTGTAATATCTTAATAAAAAATTGATTCATTATATCAATTAATATATTTTCTTTTAACATAGTCTATTTCTTATATGTTTTAACTTCAATCCATATTTCATTTCTAAGTATCTGTAACATATTTCTTCTCACATTTATTAATCTCAATATAGTCATTTTATAAATCCAAGTCCTGAACATTTTTATTTTCCTTAATATCTTCCAAACTTTTATTCTTTTATCATTCACTGTTAATCCCAGTGTAATCATCATTATGTTGTTATAATCTCAATATAATCTCTAGAGACCTCCTTTTTATTATTACTATTCACATAATCAATTACTCTATTCATATTTAAACACATTGTCTTTATCTTCTTTATTCTCCACCTCTATATCTTATTCCTCCTTCTTCATTTTCTTGTCCACTTATGTATACTCCAACTTCTGTATGTATACATGAAATGTATACATTTCAACTTCTGTATCCTCGAATTTTTGTCCTCTATGCAATATTATAATTATTTCTCTTATTTCCATTGTCCAAGTCAAATAGATCAATTTGTTCCTTCTCTAATTCCTGCGCCATTTTCTTTTTTAAGTTAATATTATTCCAATTATAAGAGTTCCATTACAATACTTTCTTTTTATTTTTTTTCTCCCAAAGTCAAGCCGCTTGTAGATAAGAAAATCCTCCCCCATAAATTCTCATGGATGTTATCTGTGAAGTCCATATTTTCCATAACAAAAACCAAATTGCAATATTCCTTTTTACTCCAGATGGTCTCTCTGCAATCCACAATTTCCAGTTGTTTAAAAAGTATCCATTTTGTTTCAATTACATAACAATCTTATTTAGCTTCTCTTTTTCTTTTAGGTTTAAAACTACCAAATCATATTTAAAGTCCAGTCCAAATTTAAATAGCTCTTTTCACTTCTTTTTTCTCCCTTTTTTCCTTTTATTTATACGTCACTTCTTTTTTTTAAAGCTTATTATCCATTCTCTTTGTTTTTCTTAAAATTTAAAAAGAAAGAAAAAAAATCTCTTCATTTCTTTCCAATCCTTTGACCATTATCTAATTGTTTAAGGTTTCCAAATAGTTTATTCAAAAATCAATTTCCTATCAGGTTGTTGCCTCTTTAAAGTTACGTTTCAAAGTCTTCTTTGCCCCCTTAGCTGCTATTTATCATTAGGGGTCTTATAATTGAAAGATGTTTCCTTGTTGTTGTTTCATGCCTGGGTTGACTGTCACTCACCCGGCTTCAAAAAACTCCATTCCGTTCCTCTCCTCTTTCCAGCTCTATACTTAGTCCAGTTGTCCCAGCTTCGTGGCAACCGCCATGGCTGCCATCCCCCGCCGCCGAGTCACAGAGATTTCCCTCTGACCTTCGAGGAACTTGCCTGTTCCTCTTGGTCGTCTGAGGTGCCTCTCTTTCTTCCCCATCCCTGCAGGATGGTTCTGGTCTGCAGACTCCTCGGCAGCGGTTCGTCAGCCGGGGTTTTCGCGGAGCTCATCGGAGCCCGCTAATTCTTCGACTGTCTCGCCGCGATGCCAAACTGGAAGTCAGCACAGCCGTGTTTTTGATTGTAGAAATCTTCATTGTATTTAAAATAGGTAGTGGTCAAGCAGAGGTCCATCATGGCACATATGTGGTCTGGGCTGAGGTTGGTTCTGTCACCTAAGGTGCTGTCTTTTAGCAGTTGTTTTTTCACTACCATGACAGCTTTGATTTTTGGAATGCAGGTGAAGAGAGAAGTCACATCATAGGAAACCATGATCCAGTTTTAATTTCCAAACCTTGCTAACGAAGTCCTGTGAATTGTTGATGTGATGAGTGGTGTTACCAACTAGAGGAGCTAATAAGGTGGTTAGATGTTTTACAATGTTGTAGGTGACAGAGTTGATGCTGCTGACAATTAGTCTGAGTGGAGTTCCCTCTTTGTGGATTTTGGGGAGCCCAGCTGTTTTGATGTTACTGCAAAATTTGGTCATTTGGTCAAAAAATTATTTTCTGTTTGGGTAAGCTTTCTGACAGACAGATTTGTCACAGATTGGTCAGTTTTCTGAGACATGTCACCTGCCTAGGACCTGCCTAGACAAATGGAGGACTACGTAGTAGTCCTTGTTAAACAACTGCCTTGTTCAATAACTATGAATGGTTATTCATAGTTAATGTTCACCATAACTATGAATGGTTATTCATAGTTATGGTGAAAAAGTAAAATGAGAGTATCTGAATAAAAGAAATAGAAATAGAGTGGTTTTATATTGCTATGCCTTTGCAACTCCTACTTTCTATTGTCTATACAAATCAGTCAGTTTCAACAAAAACATTACAATGGCTGAAGTTAAAATAAATTGATTTTTAAAACTATTTTTGAAAAAAATGCTATGAAATGAAATTAATGAGTGGAGTTTACCTGTTCCACACATCTTCCCCTTTTTTCTTTTGTGCCTAAATAAAAGATCAATAAGAAAATATATGTAGATATTGACTTTCTATTATTTAGTCTCTCTCGACCCGCAGGCCGCCATTTCTTCAAACCTGCTGTGGAACAACTGTTAAATCTTTAACAAAGCTGTACATCAGGTCTGTCAAACTAGCGGCTCGTGGGTCACCTGCAGGTCACCTGCAGGCCATGCCCACCCTGCCTCCGCAAAGGCAAGAAACAGCACGATACATCACAATATGTCATGTTATGCGATCAAGTTTGACACCCATGCTGTATATGGATTCTATTTCTTGATTGCCTATAAGCAATATAACATTGGGCAAATTATAATATGTTGGTTGTGCAATATATTAAGTGACATCCCTAGCATGACACATTTATTTCCATCCCAGGTGCAGCAGTCTACTTGGGTCATTAATCTCTGTGTCTGGTCCTGGGACAAGCATCACTGTTTTTAGTAATTTAGACCCTTCTTTTAATTGATATGTTTGTATATTGTGACAAATACACAATATTTGTATATTGTGACAGTTAGTCAGATCTCTGTAGCTGAAGAATATGCTAAATCTCAGCACCAATTTGCTTCTTGATTAACTGAATGTAAAGAAATTAGTGTATTGTTACTGAATTCAACTTGAAGATGATCTTAAAGTTTCCCAGAAGTTGACAGATGTCTAATGTTGATTCAAATGTTTGTTTTATTTTGTTTATATACTGTTGTTGTTCCAGGAGTTCAGTGTTGTTTCCATGGGGAGCTCCCTTCATTTTATCCGCAAAATAACTCTGGGAGATAGGTTGGACTGAGAGAGTGACCAGCTGGCCCAAAGTCACCCAAAGAGTTTTTGTGGTTGAGGATAGATTTGAAGTTCAATAGGTCAATACCATAATAGGTACACAACACTGCCATTTCTTTGTAATTACATTAATTACTTGTAGTGAGGAATGGGGGTAATGAAATAGAGCAGGAAGTTGCTAATAAAAAATAAGGGAGAGAAGCTTTTTTTCTCAGTGAGACAAGCCATTGTGGAGAAGAATTAAAGATAACATTATTTTTAATATACATATAGAATCTTTATTGGCCAAGTATGATGGGGCACACAAGGAATTTGTCTCCAGTGCATAAGCTCTCAGTGTACATACAAACAAACAAAATAAGAGCCTTGGTAGTACAGTGGTCTACACACCCTGTTATTAACACAGCTGCCTGCAATTTACTGCTGGTTCGAATCTCTCCAAGGCTCAGGGTTGACTCAGCCTTCCATCCTTTCTAAGATAGGTGAAATGAGGACCCAGCTTGTGGGGGCAATAAGCTGACTTTGTATAAATATACAAAAGTATGAAGGCTTAAAGCAGTGTTTCTCAACCTTGGAAGCTTGAAGATAGGTGGACTTCAACTCCCAGAATCCCCCAGCCAGCACTTCTGGCTGGGGGATTCTGGGAGTTGAAGTCCACCCATTTTCAAGCTACCAAGGTTGAGAAACACTGGCTTAAAGCATTGTATGCCGCCCTGAGTCTCCGGAGAAGGGCGGCATATAAATCAAAATTAAAAACAAAACAAAACAAAAAACAACACAAGGTAATATAATCGGTGTGCATACAAACAACATGTACATACAAACAAAAAGTGTACATATAAACAAGAATCTTATAATTATAAGATACTAATAGGAGAAGGCAGTAGAAAAAATGAGAAGGATAATAGTAATACTACACAGGTAAATATTCTTAGATACAAGACAGGGAATTAGGTGTTCAGCAAAGTGATGGCATGAGGGGGGGAAAAACTGTCTTTGTATCTAGTTGTTTTGCCATGCTATGCCCTGTACCGGCGTCCCAAGGAGAGGAATTGAAACAATTTATGTCTAGGATATGTGGGGTCTGTAGGTATTTTCTCAGTCCTCCTTCTGACTTGTGCACTATATAGGTTGGAAAGCAGGCTGGTTGCAATTATTCTTTCTGCATACGATGTGTGTATATTCACATTTTTATTTCAGATTGCAGTAAAGGGAAACCCAGGCAAATCATTGGTGATATTTTTTTTGTCTTTCTCTTTCAGTGAGTATGTTTTTGAACACGTTAACACCCAAATTCTACGTTGCCTTGACAGGCACTTCTTCATTAATCTCAGGGCTTATTTTGGTAAGTACTAGATCTATTTTTAAAATATTTTATAATCTTCTATAATACATTAGATTTTTTCAGCTACATGTTTTTTGTCTTTTTTCCTTCAATTTTCTATATCTATGTACCGTGTACAATTCATATTAGTCACTAATTAATCTGAACATTAAGTCTTGTTCTGTGGAGCCAACTACAGTACGTACTAGAGAAATCATACATTTGTCAATTAGCACAAAAGGAAATCAATTTGTTCAAAGTACACTCTATGTATTAGTTCAAATTTCTGGCCATGAAACTAGACACAGACACAGACACAGACACAGACACACGCGCGCGCACACACACACACACACACACACACACAAAACAAAGACTAATGGCACATTAAAGATAAATACAGCATGGTTTAATTTATTAGATGTTTGCATGATACTTAATATACATTCTGTAGTCCAACTGTGTGACAAAGAAAAACAGCAACTGTTTTTCATTCAGAGAGATAAGATCAGCTGATTACTGCTCAAAACCTAGAGGAGGAAGAAACCTGGGAAAAACAGTCATTTGAAAGTTGAAAGAAAGTTATTGCATATCTTTTCAGAAGAATATAAGTCTCAGGCTTCCATTTGAACAAAAGTGCCTTATTGCTGCTTTGCTTGGGCATTGCTAAATTACTGTAACAGTTTTCAAAATGTTTACAATTTATACATTTATGACATCAATAATTGTTAAGATTAAATACACATTTACATATATCTTCCTAAAATTCTGGTTTATGATTAAATTTGTCTTAGGCATTTTCTATTGAAAACCGCAAATCAGAGTTTAGAATTCTTTTAAAATGCATGAATACAGATAATCATTTATTATAGCATAATCCTAAATGCATCATCTTAAAAGTGAGGTCTTCTTAGTTTTAGGCAACTTATTTTTACAGAGGAATTTTTTTCTGTGCAAAATTTCAGGAAATCTATGATTATATTATCCCATTTGTGCCATTTGTTATTTATTTGCATAGATCAATCTGAATGCATTGTGCTAAACTTCCTAAGTTAATTTGTTGTTTGGCCTGCAGCTTACATTTATTAGCTTAGTACCAGAAATGGCTATCTAATTTGGTATAATAAACTTAGAAAACTTTATTTTGCCTAAACATTATAATAGCAATAAAGTAACTAAAAGCATACTGTCTTTTCATGGTATATATTCTCAAGCCCTACTCAGTCTAAACAGGTCCATTTCTTTTTCCACAAAAAAAATCACTTGACGATGTTCTCCTTTAATAAATAGTACATAATAATTATTTAAGAAATATTGATAATTGCCAGGGTATTTTAGTCCTTTAATTTTCTTTGCTATCACAGAGGAAAGTGTGACATATTCTGCAGTTTTTTTTAAATATTTCTTTCTCGAACTTATATAAAACCTTAATATTTTATAGGACTGTGCAAACCCTCAGTTTGAAGGTTTGACTAAAATGCAATTTAATTTACTTTCCAAATAAAAAGGGACATTTCAATGTTAAAAAATTGGGTGCTGCAAATCAATTATGCCCTTCTGCACCTGCATAGAAATGATTTTATGAATCTGTTTGGAAATCTCAATCAAACTAGTTCTATTATGTAATTCAGTTCAAGTAAAATAATATTGATTTGTAACCTTCCCAGCTGACTTCCAGTAAGCAAAGTCAATGGAGGAAGCCAAGTTTGTTTAATTACCACATAATTTTGTCAGGTCCACCATTGTACTCTGGTGTCTTGCCATTGTGCTGAGGAGGGAGGGGGTGGCATACTTGGGATTTTTTTGCTTCTGCTGTTCACTTGACGAATTAGGGAGGGAATTCCCAGCTGGTTTCCAAGGCCATTGCGCCCTGAGTGTGAACTGGTCTGCCTAGCACCTTAACATTGTCAAAACATCTTCTCAGCATCACATGGCTGCTGAAGGACTGGTTAGGAGGGGTTGGGATTGGGAAACCAAAATATTTGCTTTACACTTTGAGCAGGACCTTCAACTTCAACTTGACTTTACTGCATCCAGTTTCTCTTAGTAAAAGTTACTTTGATTCAACCCAGTGGATTCAAGAACCTTGCTTTCCTGAGGGCATACTTGGGGCAGGTCAGACATTAGGTGAAATCTGCAACAGTGGTCAACTCTGAGAGACCTACAACTCCACCGTGGGGACCGTGCACACAATATCGGCTCAAGACAGCAACCAGGAAAAAGCTTAAAGCTGGAGGGAAGCTTCATGCTGGGAATTGGATCTCTCCGAGTAGGCAGAAGAGGCTGGGGACCTAGGTGACTTGTCGAGACCAAGATGATCCATAGGCGACTTGGAAGGAAGGGCCAAGGGCCACTCTCATCCACTGTAGCCGTGGAGCTGTCGATGGGAAGGGCAAATGGAGCTGGAAGAGCTCAAGGATGACGAGGAGGCAGGCAGAGAACCCGACCATGCTAACCTGATGATGGAGCAATCCATGAAGTTCATGATGAATGCCTTCCAGACCTAGAGAACCCATAGCCACAATCAACTGCTTGTGCGGTCAAGTGCAGTCAGGAGGGGCATCTGGCAGCATAAAAGAATGTTTATGTTACTCAGAAGCTTAGTCAACTATGTAATTTGACCTTGTTCTGACAATTTTTCCTAACCTTATAATCTTGGTCTAGATCTGTGATAACACAAAAGGTTAGAATATGTCCAGAGTTCCAACTTTTTGAGATTATGACCAGTCCAGAAACAGAGTGCATTTAATGTCAGTGAAATTTGTTTCTCCATAGTTTTTATCCTTTTAAAACAGTCTTAGGAAAAAGAAGTTTGGGTAAATCCAGAATATCAAAATAATTCTTGAGATAGGCTACTTTCTGAATTAAACCTATGGATTGACTTTCTAATTTGACTTCTTGATGAATTTTTTTCCAGAAAGGGGTTTCTTTCCCTTAAATAATTAACTTATTTTTTAGTTAGCCAGAAAAGTCCACACTAAAACCAGCAAAATATTTCAAACTCACCATTAACATAACAGAAAGAAAAGACATATACCCAGAGGATATATCATACACAGCTGTTTTGTCTATGTCTGCAAGATCTGTTTAGTCCCTCAAGATACTTAGAGCTCATTCAGGAAACAGCTCTCCGAAGAATAACCATGTCTGCCAAAGAGGTTCAGAGATGTTGTTGTTTCTAAGCAATAAGGGAATCATTACTTTCCTAATGAGTGTATCTTGGGTATTCCATGAACTAATTTTATCTCAGGATATATGATCAGAGATGAAAATAAAACACACATGAAAGTTTTCAGAATGATTTGAGTTTTGTAGGAGAGAGAGAAAAAGCAATAATTACAACAATGAAACATTAATTTTCAGAATTTATATTTTGTCTTTAGATACAAATTTTAACCTTATAAATAACAGCAAAGGAATAAGTGAGTGTATCTTGCCAAGTATAGATAAAATGTAATTTTGTTTTAAGGGGTATTGCTGCAGTGAAAGAGTAAGGGGGAAACAACAGGAGGGATCAGTCGTATTCTTTTTTTTGTATTTTTATTGATCTTTTTCTTCTGGGTCCATCATTGTGGTAACTGTTGTTACTGCAAGAATGCAGGTGGTTAATTCCATTACTTCCCCATTTAGAATTTAGAATTCTTTATTGGCCAAGTGTGATTAGACACACAAGGAATTTGTCTCTAGTGCATAAGCTCTCATTGTACATGCAAGCAACAAGTGATAAATCATGATCATAATCATAAATACAATCATCATAAATCATAACATAAATTCTCAGTGATAGTCATAGGGTACTAAATAAAAAAACAAACACAGTTCTGGGCTGCATAAAGAAACGGATAGAATCAAGATCACGTGAGTGTTAATACGACTTCACCACGATGTAAAAAAGATGTTGAGACTTTAGAAAGAGTGCAGAGAAGAGCAACAAAGATGATTAGGGGACTAGAGGCTAAAACATATGAAAAACAGTTGCAGGTACTGGGTATGTCTAGTTTAAGGAAAAGAAGGACTTGGCGAGACATGAGCAGTGTTCCAATATCTCAGGGGCTGCACAAAGAAGGGGGAGTCAAGCTATTCTCCAAGAAGCAATGGGTGGAAACTAATCAAGGAGAGAAGCAACTTAGAATTAAGGAGAAATTTCCTGACAGTTAGAACAATTAATCAGTGGAACAACTTGCCTCCAGAAGTTGTGAATGCTCCAACACTGGAAATTTTTAAGAAGATATTGGATAACCATTTGTCTGAAGTGGTGTAGGGTTTCCTGCCTGGGCAGGGGGTTGGACTAGAAGACCTCCAAGGTCCCTTCCAACTCTGTTATTTTATTCTATTCTAAATAAGCAATCAACATAAATCATAATAGAATATTAAATAAATCATATGATACAAACAACAAAGTGATAGTCATAAGACGCTAAAGGAATAGGTAATATGAAAGATGAGAAGGGTAATAGTAATACAGTCCTACTACATGGTTTGACATCCTAGGACCTAGAGCATTAGACATAAGACAGTGTTGTGAAAATTAGTTGTTTAGCACTGATGGCATGGGGAAAAACTGTCCTTGTTTCTAGTTGTTTTGGTGTGCAATGCCCAATAGTGTTGTCTTGAGGGAAGAAGTTGAAACAGTTTGTGTCCAGGATGTAAGGATTCTGTAGATATTTTCCCTGCCCTCTTTCTAGCTTCTGCACTGTACAGGTCCTCAGTGGAAGACAGGCTGGTTGCAACAAATGACAGATGCAATAATTCCTCTGTAGAACTTTATCAGTAGCTCCTTGGGCAGCCTGAGCTTTCTGAGTTGGGGCAGGAGGGACATTCTTTGTTGTGCTTTTTTGGTGATGTTTTTGATGATAGATGTCCATTTTGAGCCTTGAGATAATAAAGAACCCAGAAACCTGAAGGTCTCTACTGTTGATACTGTGTTATCTATTATTGTAAGAAATAGTGGAGGAGGATTTAGGAGGACTTCTCCTAAAATCTACCTTCATCTCTACAGTTTTGAATGTGTTCAGTTCAAGATTGTTCCAGCCACACCACAGGGCCAGTTGTGGGTCCTAACCCAACTTCCGTCTATATGCAAATTCATTGTTATCTTGAAGGAGACCAATGACTGTTGTATCATCTGCAAACTTCAGTACTTTAACAGAGGGATCGTTTGAGATGCAGTGGTTGATATATAGAGAAAAGAGTAATGGAAAGAGCACACAGCCCTGGGAGGCACCTGTGCTCATTGTACAGGTATCTGATGTGACTTTGCCTAGCTTCACCTTCTGCTTCCTATCTGTTAGAAAGTTTATGATACACTTACAGGTGTGGTAAGGCTCAGTTTAGGGAGAAGAATATTTGGAATGATGGTATTGAATGCTGAACTGAAGTCTACAAAAAGGACCCTTGCATAGGTCCTTGGAGATTCAAGATGTTGTAGAATGTAGTGCAGAGCCATATTAACAGCATCATCTGCCAATCTATTTGCTCGGTAGGGAAATTCAAGATGTGTCACTGCGGATCCATGATGGTTTTCAGGTGGGCCAGCACTAACCTTTCAAAGATTTTCATAACTACGGATGTCAGAACAACTGGTCTGCAGTCGTTCAGCTCCTTGATGGAGATTTTTTTAAAGCACTGGCATGATAGTAGAGCGTTTGAAGCAAGAAGGAACATAGCACATCTCTAGTGATTTATTAAAATGCTGATAAAGATGGAGGCCAGTTTGTCTTTACAGACTTTCAAGCAAGATGGAGTTATCCTGTCTGGGCCTAGTGCTTTTCCAGGCTTATGTCTCTGAAATAGACCTTGCACATCTTTTTCTGTGATCACCAGAGGTTGGGGTGGGGGTGGGGGACAGAGGAATGGAATCAGTTGTAGGAGATTTGGCTGTTGTTGGTGTATCTGAGACAGGGGTGGGTTCTAAATTTTTTTACTATCGGTTCTGTGGGCGTGGTTTATTTTGTGGGCATGTCTTGATGGTCATGTCACAATTCTTTAGGATTTAGCAGAGGTACTGGTCTACCAGGCTTTTAACTGCTTGCAGAGCTGTACCGGTCTACCCATTTATTTTTGCAGGCACTAGTCTACTCATGAATTTTTGCAGGCACTGGTCTACTCATGTAATTTTGCAGGCACTGGTCTACCCATTTATTTTTGCAGGCACTGGTCTACCCATTTATTTTTGCAGGCACCGGTTTACTCATGTATTTTTGCAGGCACTGGTCTACCCATTTATTTTTGCAGGCACCGGTCTACTCATTTGTTTTTGGAGGCACCGGTCTACCACCAAACTGCCTTTTACCACTGATCAGCTGTAGGGCGGCCCTTTGAAGCCCCGCAGCAAGAAACAGTTTTTTTCCTTCTAGCCCATCAGTTGGGACTCAGGAGGCAGCAATAGATTGGGGGTGGGGCCAAATAAAAGGTAAGAATAACGCAGGGGTGGGGCACAACCGGTTCGGTGACGTCATATCGTCACCGCTACCGGCTCGGCCGAACCGGGCCGAACTGGGAGGAACCCACCACTGATCTGAGATGGAGAGGATGGCAGTAGTTTCCACAGTGGTTTCCACTCAAACCTACAGTAAAACACATTCAGCTCATCTGCCCTTCCCTGCATGGGAAGGAAGTTTGCTATAGCCAGTGATATTTTTAAGTGTTTTCCATACATTTGCTGATTCATTTGTTGAGAGATGATTCCTCAGTTTTTCAGAGTAGCCCTTTTTGCTGCTCTGATCTTCCTTATTAATACATTCCTGGCCTGATTGTATAGCATTCTATCTCCTTTCCTGTAGGCTTCCTTTTTGGCACGATGTAGTGGTTGAGTTTAGCTGTGAACTAAGATTTGTTTTTACTGTATGTGTGCCGGCTTCTGGTCGGCACCCATAGGTCTTCACAAAAACTGATATTACCTATTGCAAATATGTTATTAAAAAATAAATGGTGCATTGTTGCCTTTAAAAAAATCAGTGCACCAGTTCTTTTAAATAATGGTAGCTTTTATGAAATTATTAAGACTAATTGAAAAATGGCTTTTCATCCCTGTCATATTGAGTACAAGTTCTTGGAAATTATATATTGAAACTTCTGTGAATTTGCTTAATAGTCATCTTATATTTATTATTATATCTCCACCTCTAAGTCTCCTCTCTAGAATCATCACATTGCCTGAAGGGCTTTTATAGTGCAGTAATAAGTGTATGAGAGTGAGAATAATTCCCCTATGTCTACTGCATCAGCATAGGAGAGGGGAAAGCCTATTTTCTTACATTCCAGTGGGGAGATGTAAAATAGATTTCCTGACAGTTGAAATACAATACATTCAGAGTTGACTTAATCCTTTTCTTCCCTATCTGTGGAACATCTCATATTGGTGGTGTTTGCTGCTTTTCACTTGTAGGGTCACTGTTGTAGGTTTATATGAATGAAGCTTTTCCCTGGTATAAGTGGAAATATAAAATGAAGTAAAATTAGCAGGATGAATCACAGAACTATAGAAATTAAATAGCCATTTAAGTTAATTTCTTATTTGGGAACTACCCAATTATCCATAGCTCATTGGATTTCTTTTTTAGTCTCCTTCCCCATGTGTTGAATTCAAATTCTACCCAAAAGATACATCTTTCTTGTGATCATTCACTATTCCCTTTGAGTGCTTCCTATTCAAATTTTAGAGTATCTGTTATTTCATTTGTCCACATTCCTTGTCATGTTTCCACCCATTATTTATTTTGCCTGTTTTATTTAGGAAATCTAGTATACCACATAGCATTGTATAAATTATAACAAATATTTTTCACCTCCCGGATCTACTACTGCAATGCTCTCTACATGGGGCTGCCCCTGAAGACCACTCGAAGGCTTCAGCTGGTGCAGAATGTGGCCGCGCAAGTACTAATGGGAATGTCCCGACACTCTCATGTTACACCTCTCCTGCGGGACCTGCATTGGCTACCGGTTGCCCTCCGGGTGAGATTCAAGGTGCTGGTAATTACCTATAAAGCCCTACATGGCTTAGGCCCAGGGTATTTGGTGGACCATCTGCGGCCAGCGATAGCTCCCCATCGCCCAGTGCGTTCTCACAGGGAGAACCTCCTTGGGGTGCCGTCGGCCAAACAATGTTGGCTGGCGACCCGTAGGGAGCGGGCCTTCTCTGTAGGCGCACCTACCCTGTGGAATCAGCTCCCCCTGGAGCTCTGGATGGTGTCTAACTTTCGCTCTTTCCACCGTGACCTTAAAACATGGTTATTTTCGTCTGGCTGGTTTGGACTGAAGGGGTTTTAAAGGGGATTTTAATGGTCTTTTTATAATCTTATTGGGTATTTTTAACATTGATTTTGCTTGTTTTTATTGTTGTGAGCCGCCCTGAGTCCTTCGGAAATAGGGCGGCATACAAGTTTAAATAATAAATAATAAATAAATTTTACCCAAAATATGCTTCAGTATTAAGTTTATATTCTGTAAATGTGAGTGGCAGTAGAAGTAGCTTAAAAAGCCAAATAATTACATGTTTTCCCATCTGATTTAGATATTTGAATGGTGGTATTTTCGGAAGTATGGAACGTCCTTCATCGAACAAGTCTCTGTGAGTCACTTACGCCCTCTGCTGGGTGGGGTTGACAACAATTCTCCCAGTAACTCAAATACAAGCAATGGGGATTCAGATTCCAACAGACAGAGTGTTTCAGGTAAAATAATTATAATTTAATCATAATTACAATTTAATAATGTACTAATTATGAATAATTAATTTTAATAACTATTTTATATTAAAAGTCATTTCTGCAGATTGGGCAAATCACTTATTTTTTTAATCATTTATGAAGTTTGATATATTTGGGAAAGCTTAGTTTTTTCTGGTAACTGATTTGCTCACTTCTGCAAATACTAATCAGCCTTGATGAGAGATCACAAGATAATCCCAGGGTTGCAGACTGTGTCAGAAAGTTTTTTAAATTGTTTTATTTATTTATTTTAATCTTGGAAATGGCAAACCACTGCCATAGTTATTCCCAAGTAAACCATATGTCTCTGTACTCCCTAGAAGTCTAGCTTGATTCCAAGGAGTATTTTTATTTTATATTTTCCACTAAAATTCTTGCATAGCTTTATTGTTCACTGTATCAGAACAAAACAAAACTAGGGAACCATTTTGATAAATGGAGTACTGGAATCTCCAAATTGACTCTCAGATTGTATGGACTGCCTTTATTTCTCTATTTTCCTGTCAATCTGACATTATTTAATAGAGTCAGTTTGATCTAATGGTTAAAATACAAACTAGAAAGCCAGAGACTGTGAGTTCAAGTCCTGTCTTAGTGAGGAAATCCGTCTAGGTGAATTTGGGCCAGTCATTGTCTCTCAGCCCAAACCACAACACAGGGTGGTTTTTGTGGGGAAAATAGTTGAGGAAGAAGATACAAAATAAATAAATAAATAAATAATCAGTACCTGGTATCTTATTTTATTTATTATGGAACAGCAGACGAAGATTTTAAAAAGCTGACTACTATATTATTCTACTGATCTGTACTGTAAACTAGCTAGTGTAACTTTGCTGAAGTAGACCCACAGGGACTAAAGAAAATACCTCAACAATTTTTAACTTCACATGCAAATCCACTTGCTGCTTCGTGTTAATGCCCACAGGATGAATTGTGGCAACAGATCACAGTTGGCAAATGGCTAATCTAGAATGAATTAATTTACAATATAAAAGTTGTAACTGAAAACAGCTTTCAAAGGACAGTTCTTTTCATTCAATTACTTTATTCTAGCCATACCCAGGGACATTATCTATGCAATGTTTGTTTTGTTTACAAATCTCCTTTTTATTCTCATCTAAAATTTGGGAATCATTCTGAAACATATTCTGTTTGCTTTTTAAGCAAATATTTATTGAAAGGGTTTATTTTAACTCAATGAATTTTGATGTACTAGTAATTGTGCAGTATTGGATAGCATTCATCTTCATTTGTTCCTGAATATACCAATAATTCGTGAAATCAAAGGAGTCGTTATAATTCTTATTAAATATAATGTGTTGTCAGCTCCTAAATTGCCCAATCTATAATAAATATATTATTACCATTTGGTTGTCTATTTAAGTGTTTCGGCTGTACCACCTGGGATAACTAATTAGAATATAATTTGTTTCCAAATAATTATTAGCATTCAGTTATAATTAGAGGCATTTTTGTTTTTGTGACAGAATGTAAAGTCTGGCGAAATCCCCTAAATTTGTTTAGAGGGGCTGAATATAACCGGTGAGTGCTATGTAGATTTATTATTCAAATATGTTAGCATGTTTGGAAAGTATTTTTAAACACTGATTACATATGCTAGCCTATTTAGAAAGTATTTTAAGCATTAGCTCATTGTCATTGTAAACTTCAAGAAGTCAGGTGCCTCTTTCAGCTGTTTAGCAAATAGTTCAAATAAGGATGAATGGTCTTTGGATCCAGTCTCTTTTACTTTGTCCTTATGTTGGTGGATCAACACTTGACATCACCCTGCATAGATAAGTACCCTGCATAGTTTAGTCTTAAGTTTTAAAAAATATATAGGACAAGAAGGCACATTCCCCTGCATTTCTACTTCAACATATCAAGAATAACAGTGCTGAAGTACACGAATCTATTGAGATTAGTCTTGCTGTCCTCCAGATAATTCTAAATTTAAGGATGATGAATGCCTGAATTAGACTACCATTTCATTCAAGCAGTGTTAATGTGTAAATTTCTTTTAGTACCTCTATTAATTTAGATTAAGAATCTCACTAACAACAATATTCTATTTTTCTACATTTATATTATAGTTTTTCCTAAGCAACCAATGCAATACACATAGAGTTAACTATCATTTTACTCCTCACTATAACAACTCTGTAAACTAGGTCAGACTAAGCTCAAAGTCACCCAATGAGCTTTGTGATTGAATTGGAATTGGAATTTGAACTTGAATATTTCAATCACTGAGCCACCTTGGCTCCATCTCCTCCCAAATCAAAAGCCTCAGGATAAAGGGAAGAAGCTGAAAATAATACAATGATATATAGAGGAGCTTCCTTAAGATAATCAAAACTGATATTATAGAACTGGCATACAGTACATCCAGGACTATTTTAAACCAATTAAACCAGCCTTCAAGATTATTTTAAATTCAGTTCATTAAATGTGCCAGTATATATCAACTATATCACCATGGGATAATACTTTAATAACTTCTCAATTTTTCCTCAACTTAAAACAATTAAAATTCTTTCCAAAATTATTTTTTAGTGCCGTGGTTGGATTTATAGATAGAGGTTACTATATTAAAAAGGATGAAGGTTGTGCGTGGATACACTTTTACCTAAAAGAAAAAGGAAAGCATAAGGAAAACCACCACATTATGAATGTATGATGTTTATTTCTACAATTTCTCATCCTGCACATCTGTCCTGAATGCACAAAACACAACTCTATTTGCAGATACACCTGGGTGACTGGAAGAGAACCATTGACATATTACGATATGAATCTTTCAGCACAAGATCATCAAACATTTTTCACATGTGATACTGACCATTTAAGGCCTGCAGATGCCAGTAAGAATTTTACTAAACTTATTTGAATTTGTAGCAAATTGTAAAAAATGTCTGCTTTAAGACATTGGGGATAAAAGATAATCACAGATATCTTGATTCTTAACAATGTTTGTGTTTCATTTAATAATTTATATAATGTGATATTTATATCATATTTCCTGATATGGTGATTGGAATTTGGATTATGTGGCTATCTACTTTTCCAAATGCTGTTTCTCCTGAAACTTTGCTGTAAAATAGCACTCATTGTTGTATTGTGTTATTATTATTGGTTCTGGGAACTTCCTCTTTTTTTTTTTAAGAGAGCAGGATTTTGTTTTGTTTTTCAGAATAATCAAAAACGCCTTATGTGGTTGCTAAAGCACCGAAGGACCAGCATTTTATTGTTTGTTCAGAATCCACTTAATTACATTAATAGTTTTGATAGCTGCTTTGGAGTAAACTATTCTTAGCACATTTATACATAATGCATTACTAACCTTAACTAATAGTTGTAAGTTTATTCTTGTTGAAACATATTGAAAGAGAATCTCTTCTACTATCAGTATCTGATTATAATTTTGGATTTAATGAATTATTGTGTGGTGAAATGTCCTGCTAATATGTTAATCTAGATAAGCCTAGCACAGGGGTGTCAAACTCAAGACCCGGGGCTGGATCCGGCCTGCAGGGTACTTAGATTTGGCCTGCGGGACCACCCTGGAAACAGCGAAGGACTGTCCCGCAGTGCCTCTGCCAGTGAAAACGGGCTCCCAAGCTCCATTTTCAGCTGCCACAGCCTCCTGCAAACCTCTGCCAGTGAAAACGGAACTCAGGAGAGCCTGTTTTCGCTGGCAAAGTACTCGGGCCACCACAGGCACCCCCAACAGGAGTATGTCAAGCTGGCCATGCCCCCTGGCCACGGCCCCCCAGGGGTCCTCTTATGCAGCCCCCAATGAAATTGAGTTTGACACACCTGGCCTAGCATGACCTCCAAATTACTGCATTTTTTTAAAAAAATGTTTCATTTCATAGTAATGCAAAAAGCTTGGAGAGAAAGAAATCCACAGGCCAGAATTTCTGCAGCACATGAAGCTTTAGAGTTAAATGAGTAAGTGTACTAAAAGTCCTTCGATTTTTTTTTTATTTGCTTTGTTATAATTTCTTATTTACTTGGGGAGTCTTGTGCCAGTTTCTTGTCATTGGGAAAGTCGTGTACAAACTGAGAAAACTGTGAAATAGTACTCTTAGCACTTGAGCAATGAATGTGGAGTCTATACCTTTACATTTGTTGAAGCTAAAGTTGTATATGCATGATATTTTCTTTTTCTTTTTTTAATTAAGAAAAGGATGAGTTGGAGTTGATGCAGGAGAAATATTTCTTTCATACTAATCATGATAGACATGGATTGATGTATTTTCTGAGCTTTTAAGAGATGATATCTCTGCGATGTATTGCCATCTACTTATTTCAGACATGATGTATAAATCTTACTGTACTTGAATGCCCCATTCACCCTTTTTGCCATATCCATTTACATAGGTCTTTGTTTGCCTATTGGGCTTTCTATCTTAGTTGTTCCTTGGATATTATTTATTCAGTCATTGATGTATACAGTATGGATCTGATACAAAATTAATCATGTTGCTAGTTGAAATATATGGAATTTGGTATTTGCAGAGTTCTAACCCATCACAAGCTGAATTTTAAATGGTAGTTTACTGCCCAGATCCATAGCTTCAGGATTAGATAGCTTTGAATTTGCAGAATTGTGCACATGCACAGTAGTACTCTGTTGAAGTGAATAAGGTTGCTTGGTAGGTCTGAAAATACGTTACAGACTTTTCATGCCTGCAGCCAGTTGCTGGACTGAGGCATACGTTTTACCTAAAAGAATTAGGTATGCCTTGCATCCCCTTGCCCACCTGTTGTATCCTAACAAATTTATTTTTCTAACACTCTTTGTGATGATTACTTTGTCATTTCATTGACAGGTGTGCCACTGCTTACATTCTCTTGGCAGAAGAGGAAGCAACAACTATTGTGGAAGCAGAAAAACTGTTTAAACAGGCTCTGAAAGCAGGTGAAGGCTGCTACAGGCGTAGCCAACAATTACAGCACCATGGTACCCAATATGAAGCTCAGCACAGTAAGACCCTTTCCTTCTGTCACCAATACTCTAAATTAGAAGGTCTCTGTAGGGCCTTTTGTGACTCATAGGGTCACTTCATTAGATGTTTGGAATGGCTAAACTGATGTAGGATTCAAATTAGGACGAGGCAATAGGAAAAAAGTAGAAGAAGATAGGGTGGTTATCTTTCATTCACTTTCTCATCCTGATTTAAATCCTACATCTGTTTAGCCACTCCATGTGCATGCATGATGAAGTGAGGTATTGTTCACAAAAGCTTATGCCTTTAATAAATAGTCTGAAAAGATGCTGCCACACTCCTCTTAATTTTTAGCTATCATAGTCTAATACAGCTGTTTTCCTACAATGCTGTAGGGAACTCTGAGAAACAAGTTTCTTGCAATTGACTAAGAATAATTTGACTACAGAGAAATACTATAGCTCAAACATTGAATTCTATTTATTATAAAAGCTGTGAATGCAATGATTCTGTGAAAAAAAACTGTGAAATTCAGTAATATAAGATATATGTAAATAATTGGGAAAACTGGAAAGAAAGAAAAATGCAAAAAATGTAATGGGAGAAATAACTCTAGGGAGCACATCTTCAGATAGCTAAAAAGAATACATTTTTGTCTTCTTAAATACTTATTAGGTTATTGGAGAAAGTAAGCCATAGTTTGCAGTTACAGTCATCTGCATACAGGAACGATGAAGTCAAAATGGAATAAGGGCAATGAGTTAATTGGTTTAATCACAAAAATGAAATGTGTCATACAAAAAAAGAATCTGGAAGAATATGGTAATTTAATTTGTAAAATAAAAACAAGTGGATCATATTTAGAGACTTCTTTTGCATTTGCCTTTTCTTTTTGGTGTTTTATGAAAAAAATGGTTTTTTTTTCAGCTCACATTTTCCAAAATATGTTTAGTGACATTATTTTGTAGTGTGTGTGTGTGTGTGTTACTCAAAGTTTCAGCCTAATCAATGCACTGGAGTCTCCATGCTTTCTTCCAAAATGGGTGAATGCAAGTAATTAGTAGTATATCTATAAAACTGAGAATTATATGTTGCAGAATTATATGTTGTTGTTAGGGAGCATTTATGACTGATTCATTAACATAAAATTAAAATTTGCCTATCTTTTTGTCTGCATGTTGATGTTATTGGAGAAATGGTAGAAAGACTAAAGCTTGAGAACATAGAGCAGAGATGGCTAACCTTTTCAGCACTGAGTGCCGAAACCGGAGTGTGTGTGTGTGACTACGCGCGCATGCGCATGCACCAGAGCTCCAGAACCTGGAAGAGAGCAGCTGGCCAGTATGCATGTGCACAGTGGCCAGCTGCTCTTCCGGATTCTGTCACGCTCTGGACAGCTGGGTGGCGTGCATGCATGCATCGGAATCCAAAAGAGAACAGTTGGCCGGTGCATATACATGCCAGACCAGCTGGCCGGCACGTATATGTGTGACGGAACCCAGAAGAGCAGCTGGCCATGGCACATGTGCCCACAAAGTGGGCTCTGCATGCCATCTCTGGCATGCGTACCATAGGTTCGCCATCACGGATATAGAGGGTACTTATAAGAAGCTAATCAGTTAATCAGGAGTGAAATTTCTAGATATATTGAATGAAATTAATTATCTAATAAAGGAATATTTTCAAATCCTAAAAGAATAGCACCATTTCATAGAGTCTGAGAATGTGGGTTTTGGTCAAGAGCTTTCAGAGGGATGATATTATATGATAATAGATTTTCTGCACAAAAATGATTTTTCTAGAAAACAGAGAACTTGCAATCTCTTTATAGTGGCACAGTATAGAAGGATATAATTGTCAGACATAATCAAAAAAATCAAATTGCCATTATTGAATGCACAGGAATTGTCCTTTCTGGTTTTACATGGTTTAGATTAGGGACAGCAATAATCGGTTCACTTTCTAATATCTTAAATGTCATAATTCCTACCAACATAGCAAATGACAGATAGGAATTGCACTCTAGCAATATTCAGGTTGTCCTCTCCCACTAATCTAAATTATCTATCTCTAACAAAATAATAATAAAAAAATAAGACAGAAGATGGTCTCTGAACACCTCTGGAATTGAAACAAACACATAAATTAAAACATAGCCAAACTTGCTGGTCAGAATCTGTACTCCCATAGTATGTGTAAAGCTCTTAGTAAATACATTCAGTGATCTAGGTTGTATCTTTCTAGCTCAATCTATGCATTGCAGTCTTCAGTGATAAAATGATAGGAATGATTCTTCTACTTGTTTACTGTATCTACCAAGGTTTGTTTTTTTTCTTTTTAAAATTAAGATAATATGCCAAATATTATTGATATCAGTGAAAATTTTATTTAATGTTTCAGTTCACTGATACAGAGCACATTATAGCCATATTTACCTGGACGGGTTTACCATTTTAAAGATGAATGTTTTGTAGTAATACGAGCATATGCTTCTCAAGAAATTCTATGGTTGCTTAAAGTCACCTCTGACTTAACGGCATGTTAAGGTTTGTCACACAGTTAACCAGGTGTTTTGATTGCATATGCATTTTATCTACTTGTCAAGTCCTTTCCAAGGATCTGAGATAGGATTATTATTATTATTATTTAAGATTTAATCTTCAATTCAATTCACAGTCTGGGACTAGTAAAAATTTAACAGTTCAAGTCCTAATCAAGGACTTAAGAGCTGTTAAGGTAATGTTTGACTATATAGGCAGTTATTCAGGATATTCAGGTCTAATAAGTTCAAAATTTCCATGTATCTAGGCAGCCTTTTGGGTATTACTCCAAGGGCTTCTATTACAATTGGTACAACCATTGATTTCTTCCTCCATAGTCACTCAACTTCAATTTGCAAATCACAATATTTTGTTATTTTTGTCTAGCTGTTTGTCTTCAATTCATGCATCACTTGGTATTGCAGTATCAATGAACCAGACTTTTTTCTTTTCCACAATGGTGATGTCAGGCATGTTGTGGGCCAGATGTCTGTCTGTTTGGATCTGAAAGTCCCACAGGATCTTGACTTGCTTGTTTTCAAGAACTTTGCCAATTTGGTATTCCCAGTAATTTTTGCTGCATTCAAACCCAAACGTCTGGCAAAGCTTCCAATGTATAATTTTGGCAACTCAATCATGACATTATAGATAATCAGTCTGTGAGATTTTGCTGCAGCCAATTATTATTGTTGTTGTTGTTGTTATTTGCATGTTGCCTGTCAGCATCTGTAATCGGTTTACAAATTATTAAAAATATTTCAAAACAAGACAAAATATAAGAAGCACAAAACAAAACAATACAATACAAAATAAAACAAAGATGGCGGAGAAAATAAATCCTGATAGAAATAGGAAAAAAGAAGAAAAGGGGCATCACTTGTCCTTACCAACAGTCTGGATAAAGAGCTACATCTTCAGGATCCTTCAAAATACCCATAGGATGGGATCATTTGAATTTTGGGGGGGAGCCTCATTCCAGAAGGCATATGCTACTACAGAAGAAGCACACTTTTAGAACCTGGAACATTGTTTAAGCTATGAAGCCCAGACCACATCAACTCTGTCAGCTCAAAGCAGCTAAACAATACTAGGAAAAGAGGCAGCCCCTCAAGTAACTATCCCCTATGTCCTATAAGACTTTATAGATAATGAGAAACACCTTGAATCACAGCCAAAAACAAACAGGCAATCAGTGCAGCTCACAAAGCAGAGGTATTACATGGGCAAATGAGACATGCCAATTACTGAGAGAGCGGTAGTGGCGCAATGGTTAGAATGTTAAATTGCAGGCTAATTCTGCTGACTGCCAGGAGTTCGATCCTCACCAGCTCATGGTTGAGCCAACCTTCTATCCTTCTAAGGTTGGTAAAATGAGGGCCCAAATTGTTGGGAGCAATGTGCTGACTCTGTTAACCGCTTAGAGAAGGCTGTAAAGCACTGTGAAGCAGTAGGTAAATCTAAGTGCTATTGTTATCGCTATTGTTACTGCCCATGCCACTGCATTTCGGGCCAGCTGAAGCTTCCAGATGGTTTTCAAGAATAACTTCATGTACAGAACAGTCAGCTACTATTAGCATATTAAGACAAATAATTATTTTGCAATAGCACTTAAACTTATAGACCACTCCATAGTGCTTTACGGCACTCTCTGGGCAGTTTACAATGTCAGCACATTGGGCCCAATAATCTGGGTCCTCATTTTACTGGCAGTAAAATGTAAAACAATATTTTATAGTTTATCTAGGGTTATAAAAGTTCTAGTCTGACAGATTTCATTTCCAGCAGAGGTGCGCCATTGATAAAATAAACATCCAGACTAGAAAATTAGCTCTACCTAAGGTCTATCTATTTAGTCACTAAGAATTGATACCAATTTGATGGCACATAATAAGATTTACAAGGAAAAAAATGCTGAGTATCTTCTCTTACTGCTTGCTGACCTTTGAGGGTTGTCCTAGTAGTCGTATTCTTTAGTATGTATCTCACTTGTTTTCCCGTGTTATATTAAATATTCACAACCTTATACAGAAGGATAAGTTCTCATGGAGTGTCAGAATTGCTGCAGTAATTTGTTAAGCACTAAGTTCCTCGCTTTTGCAAATTAATCATACACATTCAAAGAACCAAGATTTTTAAAAATGTTAATTGCAAATTATTATTAAATGTGAGCTATCAAAATTATGAAAAGGAATTGCATTACACACATAACGATGTATCTCTTACCATTCTTTAATGTATACAGTGTCAATGTACAGAAAACAAATTCAAGGGGCTTTCTTAAGATTGTCATGCAGGTTTGTGTAAATAGGCCTATGTTAGTTCTATGAAATGCCAACCAGTTTACAGTATACAATGGGAGGAATAGTTAATTTAAAAACGTATCAGAATTTCTATGCTGCATTAGTAAAATATGAGCAACTAGGTTTATGGCCCACATTTGTGCCATGCTGTATAGATGAGTTGTTACTTCAAGTGCACAGAAAGTACACTTGCCTAAATAAAACGTTTTGTGGAAGTTACCATGCTAGGCATAGGATGTGAATGTATCACAATGATCTAATATTGATGCTCATCATAATTGGTAGACATAATAAAAATATTCCTTCCATCTATATACATGTACTTCTCTAACATGATTAGTGATGGACAGGTTTTAGAGCTTTCTTTTTATTGTGTTGTCCTACTGTCTCTATTCAATAATAAATTCTAAAAAAGGGCATTTCTTTGGAGATGTCAAAATAGACCTTTTGTTCTGTCAGTTTCTATAAACATTCAATCTCTTCAAACCTTTTCCCTTCTTCTCTCTTTCTTTCTTCCCTTCTTTTTCTTTCTTCCCAGGACGGGACACTAATGTATTAGTCTACATTAAAAGGAGGCTGGCAATGTGTGCGAGAAAACTGGGGAGAACCAGGGAAGCTGTGAAAATGATGAGAGATGTGAGTTTGGATTTGTGTTAATATTTGTCTTTTACGTAACTAGTCACAATCACAGAGAGGAATTTTCTTTTGCTATAGAACCAACCTATCTATCTACGTAAAACAGTGCTGATATCTAGTGTGCTTAACCTGCTTTCTCTTTTTCTGGTTCTTTTCCAATCGTCCTCATATTTCTATACAGGGTGAAAGACTGAAAACATACTTGGATTTGTGCCCTTTCTTGTTTATTGCTCCTGTCTTGACTAGTTACTTTTACATGGAGCTTTTCATATTAAAATCTGATTTTTCTTATGAATTCAAGATCTACCTAAGGAAAATCTTCAGATCTTCAGATTTTCTTTTTGTTGTGTATTATGGAGAGTATGAGGAAGGACACTATTAAGCAAAGGATCATCCCTAATTTTACCATAAATGTAGACCAGTGGTGGGATTAACATTTTTTTTACTACCGGTTCTGTGGTTTTACTACCGGCTTGGTTGGCGTGGCATGGCTTGGCTGGCATGGCTTGGTGGGTATGGCAGGGGAAGGATACTGTAAAATCTCCATTCCCACCCCGCTCCAGGGGAAGGATACTATAAAATCTCCATTCCCTCCCCACTCCAGATGAAGGTTACTGCAAAATCCCCATTTTCTTCTGATCAGCTGGGAGGCAGAGAATAGATGGGGGTGAGGCCAGTCAGAGGTGGCATTTACCAGTTCTCCGAACTATTCAAAATTTTTGCTACCGGTTCTCCAAAAGTGGTCAGAACCTGCTGAATACCACCTCTGATGTAGACCAGTAATACGCAGAAAAAAGATTAGTTACAGTATTTTAGAAAATTTGGTATGTAGAAGGATATTTATGTGACCAATAGACGCTTATCAACTCAGCCCTGAGGCATATGTTGTTAGTTATGGGACAGCTTTGAGAATGATTTTAAGGAATCTTGCAGAGGCATAAAGTACCCAATTCTGTGCCTCTCTTTTTCTTGATTTTGCCAAAATCAAAAACAAGAAAATGCACTGTTGAAAACCAGTGATTTTGTTGTCCACTTGTACTCAGGTAGCTTCAGGCAGGCCATAAATTGCTCTTTAATGAATTAAAAAACACCCATTTCTTAGAATGAAAGAAATGTGAAGAATGCAAACTAATGAAATTAATTTACAATTTCAAAAGGGCTAAGAGAGATGCAAAATGTCACAAATTGTTCCGACTCCTGCACAGTTTTTCTGTTTTCAGGATGAGAAACAGCATACTTGAGTGATCCAAATGTTAGAATGGCATCAAGAAGTCTAGTGTCAGCCATGTAAACTTCCTGGATTACTTATTGCAAATTATTCTTTCTCAACCCAACCTTTCTCACAGGGTCACTTTGGGAAACAAAATTGGATGGAGGAAATGCAGTAATATTATTGTGAGCTCCTAAATGAAAAGCAGGTTAAACAAATATAAATAGTATAAATTACAACTATTTTAACTGTTTTAAATGGAATGGGACAGCATAATAAATCTAAATAATAACATTAAAAATATAAAATTGAATATACCTATAATTAAAGATAAATTTTAACATGATCTTTGGGAGGGAAGCATACATTATTTAACTTTCATGGCCACTACTCCCATGGCCTTTGTTGCTTCCCTTGGTTATGTGGGTGGTGAATTCTTATTCCTACCTTTGCTTTTAATACTGTATGACAAAATGTATAGAATTCAGGGACATTCTATTCATTGTGTAGCTGGAATCTTATCTTTAAAAGCAATCCAATTTGCTTTACCTCAATTTGAAGAAACTAAGGTTGTCCCTTCCACTATCTAGCATGGGAAAAATATAAAAACATTTTGGTATCTTGGTTTTTTAATATAGGTAGTCCTTGCTTAAGGAATTGGAATCTCAGTTATTGAACAAAGCAGTTGTTAACTGCTTAACTCTTGGCACTCCTGACTGTGGTCATTAAGCAATCTCCCAGGTCATTAAGCAGAGGGAGCAAATGAATTGCTTAACGAAGGATTTCAGCTCCATGCGGAGCTTCATGCGGAGCTGAAATCCTCCTGGCAGGCAGCCCTTTCCCACCCAAATGGTCCTGCAACCCACCAAAGGATTTCAGCTCCCCCTGCATGCACAGAGGGGCTTTGTGGGGCTGCAAGAACCAAGTTGAAATCTTCAGGATTTTAGCTCTGTTCTGCAACTTGCTAAAGGGTTTCCCCTCCTTTCTATGCATTCTTCCAGCCCCACAATCCCCTCGATCCATAACCATGGTGAGTGTGGTATGACTTTTGTGATTGTCAAAAGTGCTTTAGAGATCATATGGCATCCTTTCCAAAGCTGTCATTAAATTAATCCAGTCATTAAGTGATTGATTAGTTGTTAAGTGAGAACTACATGTAAAAAATAAAACATTGTAGGGAGGAATTATGTCAAATTTCTTAGAAATCAGGGCAAATTTTTTGAGCTATATGCTTTTAAAAGTGATTGCTTTTTTAAAAAACGGCTGTAGAATTTTTTGCTTTTTACAAAAATCACCCAAAAATTTATAGGAAAGCCAAATTGCATTTAAGAGATTAAATGTGCCAAATTTGATAAAACTTAATGCACAGCTTTCAATGCTTGTTTAATTTCTCATTTAAAATGTACATAATTTGTTCGAGTGGAGAATGTAATGAAAGTTGCTGCAAAAAAATGCCCTAGAGTAATAAATATATATGTCACTCAAATTTCATTCAGAGGAATTGATCAGTTTTTGTGCAAAAGATAGATTGGAAAGAGGCAATAATCCTTTTTGTGAATTTATTACAGCCAACAGTTATGGAGGTTTCAAAGAAATACAAGAAATTAATATATTTGTGTTTTCTTTAAAAGAGAGCATTACTTAAACCAGGGGTTCCCAAGCTGTGGGCTGTGGCCTATTACCAGGCCATGGTCTAATTGCCACTGGGCCGTGTGAGTGGCTGGCTGGTGAGCGTGTCTCTGCATGCATGCACAGCCCCACTCGCGCAAGCATCCCAATTGTTCACGGTCCCACTTGTGGAGTGTTGTCACAGGTGCTCGTGGTCCCATTTGCACTGGTCTCATTGTGGGCAAGGCCCCACTCAAGTGAGCCTCATCACAGGTACTTGTGCCCCGCTCACAAATGTTGTGGGTGCTCGCACCTGCACCTGCACACATGCACTTGTCCCTCCCACAAAATCATACCCTCTTTCCCCCTCCCCCCTCTCCAGGCCGCCAACCCAGAAAGGTTGGGGAACTCTGCCTTAAGCCATTTGAGTAGTAAATAAGATAACCATAGAATTGCTTCTGTGAATTGTTTCTGTGAATTGCTCCATAGAATAGAGCTTCCGTGAATGAAGGAAACTGAATGATTAAACAATATTTCTCCGTCCAAGTCTTTCCATCCTTGCAAAATTCTAAGATTGGGATAATTTATATAATTTGATCACAAGGATCCTTTTTTTAAAAAAAATCCCATAAATATTTGGGTCATATTCTCTGATATTGTTCAACTTGTCAAAGTTGTTTGTCCTCAATGAAATTTTAACATGTCAGAATGTTGTTATGTCCTAATAAATATACTGGATGAGCTGTTTATATAACGAGTTTGCATAACTGTGGAACATTACAGACTTTTTCATCATTAGGAAAATGAAACGGAACCTGAGATTCATTCCAGTCTTGCTGCTGGTATTAGGAATCTTACAATGAAGCTTTAATTAAAGGTTTCAGTCTATCCCTGTATGCAATTTCATTATCTCTATACCAATAATGTGTAGATAGATGTGCAGATGTGCAAACCTTCCAGGCAAAACTTCCTAGAATTATTGACAATTCTAGTTCACATACAGGGACATCCTTCCTCCCACCCCCCTTTGTTTTTTTTAAATTGGACTTAGTATAGGGATCATATATGGGCCCTGTAAGATCAAATTATGTCAGATTTTTAATGTCTTTGTTATTGGTATGTCTTAATTTACTCATATTGTCAAAAAAGAAATTTTTATATCAATTTATGTATTCTTAACTCTGATTGTGTTTCTATAAGTAGCCTTTTTCTATAGTATCCAAAAGCACTAGTTTATTATGGGCCGCTCTAGAGTGTTTTGTAAAGAAAATACTAATTTCACATAACTTGCTTTCAGATCTACATTCCAAACAATGATATAGATTGCCAAAGTGTGAACAATGATTCTCAAATACAACAGTATAGAAAACATAGTGAAAAACCTGGAAACAAACACCAAAGAAACCAAATGTTTATTAAAACCAGGAACTCTGTGTAAGCGGTGTAGGAAAAACAACCCCAATCAAATTACATGACAAAGCCTAAAAGAGATGCTGTTTTGGGATTGGGATGTCAAACTACATAGCAAACTAAATTGTATATTTCCTTATGGTTTAAAACAAAGGTACCATAAATAATTGATTATTCTGTCATTCTTACATTCTTCGACACATGTGGCCCGAGCGCTCTGCAAGCGAAAATGGAGCTCAAGGGGACTTGCAAGCTCCGTTTTCAGCTGCAACAGCTTCCTGCAACCCTCTGCCAGTGAAAACAGAGCTTGGGGGGCCTTGCAAGTTCCATTTTTGGTCGCGAAGGCCTCTGCAGCCATCTGCCAGTGAAAATGGCGCTCAGGGAGCCACACGAGCCCCATTTTTGCCTGCAACGGCCTCCTGCAACCCTCTGCCAGCAAAAACAGAGCTTAGAGGGCCTTGCGAGTTCTGTTTTTGGCCGCAAAGGCCTCCTGAAGCCCTCTGCCAGCGAAAACGGAGCTCGGAGTACCTCGCGAGCTCCGTTTTCGGCCATGATGGCCTCCTGCAGCCCTCTGCCAGTGAAAATGGCAAAGAGCTCCATTTTTGCTGGCAGAGGGCTGCAGGGAGCCCCACAGCCGCGGGGCCCTCCTGAGCTCTGTTTATACTGGCAGAAGCACCGAGGAAACCTTTGCTGTTTCCAGGACAGCCCTGCAGGCCAGATTTAAGCACCCCATGGGCCAGAATCGACCTTTAACTTTGAAACCAATGTCATATAAGGCTACCATGTAGTTCAGTTCAATTATTTCAAAATTCTCCTGCAAGGCAGCCATTTCCCATTGAAATGTTCTTGCAGCCCACAGAAAGATTTCAGCTCTCCTCCATAAAAGGTAAAGGTTCCCCTCGCACATATGTGCTAGTCATTCCCAACTCTAGGGGACGGTGTTCATCTCCGTTTCCAAGCCAAAGAGCCAGCGCTGTCCGAAGACATCTCCGTGGTCATGTGGCTGGCATGACTAAACGCGAAAGATGCCCGGAATGCTGTTGCTTTCCCACCAAAGATGGTCTCTATTTTTCTACTTACATTTTTTACGTGCTTTCGAACTGCTAGGTTGGCAGAAGCTCTCCTCCATACATGAAGGGAAATTCTATGTAGACCTGTAGGAACAGAATTAAAACCTTGAATCCCATGTTTAAAAAAAAAAAGACAAATTTAGTAGCTTAGTATGTGAAGCACATTGGTATTCTTTTTTATTTTAAGACTTAAGGGATGGTTGTTTTACAATACAAAATCACTTTAATCTGATAAGCAAGGCACTTTAAAAAGGGATTTTTTTTCTGATAAAATAGTTGGTTTGCAAGTCTTAGCGTCTAGACAATGTACTTTTCTTCTTATCCTTTTCATGTCTTGTTTAAAATAAGGAACAAAAAGATTCATAAAATGAAACAAATATATATTTTAATTTGCAATGAATTCTTTGATTTATTTTCTATCTCAGAGTTAATCTACATGAAGTAAGGGAAGAGCTTTCAGTTAGATTATTTGCAACCTACCATTTATGTTGTATATTTAAATTTTGATTCTAGTTTTTACTCAGAGTAGATCATTGTGGCTTTCTATTTCTGCAATAAAAATGGACTTCAATTAATCACTCTCTCTGCCTTCTCACCGTCACCCCAAGCATCAAGATTTTTACATGCATAGAAGTTACTTTAAAAATTATAATGGTTTTGTGCTCTTATCAAATACAACCTATATATACCACCGTTCTTCAAAATTGGACTAAATTTATACATTCTCTTTTTGGACCATGGGTGTCCAACCTTGGCAACTTTATGATTTGTGAACTTCAAATTGCAGAATTTCCCAACCACATGCACCCTTGTTCTAGACCAAACTCTTAGAGGATTTTTAACCAACAGGTGAAATGTTGAGTTTTTGCAGTTCTTCTGTTTAGTAAAGTGTAGTTTTTCCAGTCCAGTTTTGGTTGTTCTTTCTCACTGTGTTGTGATACAAGTATCTCAAACCTGACAGGACATTTATTTTCATTTTAAAACATTTTCTGTAACAAGTAGAGCAATATTTAAATAAATTTTGAAGCTGACTTCAATGTCTTAACTCAATCCTGGAAAGTTAATAATGATAAAAATTGAATATTTCAGTGTAGATGTATTGACCCAGAATAAGGAGGATTAGGCATATTCATCTAGTCAGTCTTTTTCTAGATACAAATGGCTCCGGAGAATGTAATTTAATGTGCTAGTAAAATTAAAATACTCTTTTCCGATCTTTATAAGTAAAATTAGGAACACAAGAGCTGTTGCTGCATGATTAGACAAATGAACGTTAATAAGGTGATCATGATTATATATCCCTAGAACAAATCTCCATGTGTCTTGAATGGGATCAATTTAATTTAGCATATTCTTGCTGCATTTTGATAATTACAATTTTTTAAGCTAGCTTAGTTATATTTTGCTATTGTTACTCATCCATATAATTATAGTTTGTTGGTATTTGCAAAATCTTTTAACGTCAGTTGTTTTATGAATGTATTTCTTCAGATGGACCTTAGATGCTATACTGCTATCCACTTCTTGATTTTTCCATCATTTCTTAATCCTTCACTCCTTCCTTTTTCTAATTTTTTAAATTGACTTCTGGAACCCACAAATAATGAGGAAATGTGGTAGTAGAATGTAACATTATGAAAAACAATTTTTGGATGTTTCATTAATTGTTTTAACTCTTTTATAGTTTTAAAATTATAAGCCATCCAGAGTTACTTGGCTGGGATGGGCAGCTATAGAAATCAATCAATCAAATAAATAAAGAACACATCTTTAACCCTTTTCCTATGCTCCCTTTCAGGAAATGATATGAAAATGTCTTAATAAGGCATAAAAAATTGGGCTTAAAGAAAGTTTATCTTAAAGCTAACTACATCCTGCCAACATTTCAGAATATCCAGTTGATCCAAATCAGGTTCTTGGTATAATATATGGAAGCCTAATTAAGCCCCAACTCATCCATTTTCCATTCTCTTGGTTGCAAGATAGAAAACTGGTCTGTAAAATAAAAATGTTGTTCATCAGGTTAGACTCTTTGGTCCATCTAGCTTAGTATGGGCTTTACTAGAAAATTTCAATGCATCATTGTTTAATGCTGCTGTTCTTGGATTTATTAAACTAACCATATATGCCTAAGTATTGTTTTCATGTTCTAAGTTCAGAGAATGGCGGGATGATATTATTAAATGTGAACAGTCATTATAATTTTATTTTATATTTGCCATGTAAAATACCATGCAAATACTAAGCCTATTTCTTTCTTTCTTTCTTTCTTCATAGTTGATGAAGGAATTCCCTCTTCTTAGTATGTTCAACATCCACGAAAATTTGCTAGAAGCTTTGCTGGAGTTACAAGCATATGCAGATGTTCAAGCTGTTTTAGCAAAATATGATGGTAAGTGAAGTAGCTCTTTATATGTCCTGATATATATTGAATTTCTTTTTATTTGTTTTTTCTTTAGCGGGATTTTCTTTAGTTGTTATAGTAAGTTGTAGCTTCCAAATAATTCCATTTAATTTATAATACCTAGTTTTTAAATGTTGTAATAGTGAAGGACAATTACTCCTTCCATTCATTGTTCTATTTTTTTCTTGGTGAACTTCAGAGTTTTACTAACTCTTCTATGAATTTGTGAGGTATAAATATTTTCTATCAGTGACTTTGTACCTTTTTGCTTTACAAAAAAACCTTTCTAATTTCATTAGAACCTAAGGTGAAGTTATAGGACCGTGATGGTGAACCTATGGCATGCATACGTGTAGCCATATCAGTGGGCACGTGAGCTCAGCTCTGGCGCGCATGTGCGCACCGGCCAGCTGATTTTTGGGTCTTCTAGGCCACCAGAAGTAGGGAAACAGGCCCCATATGTCACCTCTATGTTTGCTGCCCCATGTTTTTTTACATTCTATAATTTGTAAAAATAATAAATAATTTGCATCATGAAAAGTACCTTCTGCATAATCTCTTTTTCTAAAGATTTCCTGGTCCATAAGTAGACTCCATAAGACTTTTTAGAAATTAAGTGCTGGAAGTGTTCTTATCACCTTGGGAAAAGGTTAGGATTAGAGAAAAGTCTGCAGGGATAGAGGGCACTAGCAGGAATTGCATTTTGATAAATCTCCTCCATATGAACCAGGACCCTTTGAAAATAGACATTTTGCTAGAAAGTGCACAACTTGTACTCATAATTTCAGATATGTCCCACTAGAACAAAAAATGAGGAGGAGGACCCTGCCTAATTGCATTTTTCAGTTCTTTTCAGTTGTTCTTTTCAGTTGTCTTCAGACATCTATTTTGATTTACTATTGAAGACTTTTAACTCTCTTTGTTTTGAAGGACATTGCTTTTATAGCAAAAATATTCTAAGAAAAAAGAAGTTCTGGCTCTTTGGGTAGCAAAAGGGGGGAAAGATACATAACCTAATGGACTGTATTACATAGAATGCTAAAGTGACAATTGCTGAAGTACAAAACCTTAATTATGTTTTCTAGTAACAGTACATATCTGATTGCTGGCATTGCTTCCCTGTTGAGCTTGACTTGTTGCCAGGTGCACCATATAAATTGGCTATGTAATCACATACGATTTGTTTATAAAGAGGGCACTTGCTTGTTCTTTGTAGCAAAATCAAAACAATAGACTAGAAGTGTCAGACAGATGTAGTAAACTCTGATTTTAAAATTTAATAAATTCATGCTGCCTATTTATTTCATGGGTTTGCAAGCCATTTTTATTCATAGACAGCTCTAAGAACATATATCCCAATTGTATAATAGATTACCACAACCTACAGTTGCAATATGAATAGTCAATATGCTGCAAAACAACCTCCCATCATCACCATTTTCATCACAATGTCACTATCTCAATAAGCAAGAATTGGGAGTTGAAGAAAACAGGTTAAAGAGTAATTTAAAATGAGGGAATCAATCCAGTCAAAGACTAACGGGTCTTTGACCTCTGAACCTACAGCTTCTCCATCTTGCAGGAAATAAGCCTAAATCTGTTCATTCCTATCCAGACCCTGACAATCCCAAGGCAATGGGACAGTGCTTTGACCATATATTCTGCTTGGTCTGAATGCAATGGGTATCATGATATTTGGCTCTGTGTTGATGAATCACTTACCACTGTTGCTTAAACTATGGAGCAGAGAAAGTTGAACACTTTTGGTACTTTTCGGACTTGACCGCTCCCAACTACCTCTCCCAACAACCTCTCCCATCACTGCCAACTGAAACTGAAGGTCCCAGAGAATCTATAACATTATGCTTCCTTTTCCAGTCCTAGAGACAGTTCAAAATGATTTTATAATTGATGTGATAAAAGGCAACTGAGAAGTTAAAGAGGATGAAGAATCTTGCCATGTATCATCTATTAGAACAATTTGTGTGTTCTTGGTAAGATACTTGGTAAGAAACTCTAGCCCCTCCAACCCTAGCTCTAGCCCCTCCTCAATACTCTTTGCTATAAAAGGAAGATTCAAGACAGATTGATGGTTCTCCTAGCTATTTGAAAACCATCAAGCAATGTTTTCTTAGAGGGCCTTAAGAGTGCTCTTTTCAAGGCCAAGAACATTAACTCTTCTCTTAAAGATGCATTTGCTATCATTCTAATCCAGTAACCTTTCATCAGCCTGGAGGCTTTTACCAGCCAGTTAGTGCAGGTATCTAACCACACTGCACTGATAGTATTACCAAAGATCACATTCATTTCTTCAGGATGAATGGATTCAATTTCCCAGATAGCTTCACAAGGTGAAGTATTTTCATATCAACTGAATCTGACTAGCTAATGTCCAACTCTGCATGGATCTAAGCTGTTTTATCATTCAGTTATACTGCAAATCCTTTACAGTGGTCCAGTAAATATTCTGCCATCCAACTTTTCCTAAAAGATTTGAGCATACTTCAGAAAAGGCTGCTAATCAGCAATCTCTGGACAGAATAAAAGCAAACAAAAAAAATCAGATCTTACCATGATTGGACAGATCCACTTTTTGTTTTCCACCAGCATTTCTCTCCGCATTTTTTTTGCCACTTCAATTCTCAGAGTTCTTTGGTAAATCAATTCTGCAAGTGTATCAACAAACCAAGGAAGGCTGCTCAGGTGCAATTCTGTCCAAAGCAATGGTTGCCAATATATTCAGTTAATTAACCAAGAACTCTGGAAATGCCCAGCAAAATCTCAGAAGAAATTTCTTGGAAGCCAGAAGATCCAGTAGGTGCTTGTGCACACCAATCAAATACTTCCTTCCATTTGCAGAGAGGTGGTAAGCTGTTTTAATGGTGATGAACATGAAAATTAGCTAAGATGTATACAGCGGTATCTTGGTATTCAATTGCTTTGAAACTCATCTAATTTGGTACTCAACACATTTTGAGATGAAAACTTTGTTTTCATTGGTACTCATTGAGTACCAAACAAACCCATTGTTTGTTTGGTACTCAATGGCCAAACTAGAACTTGTTGGTGTCAGCTGCCTTGTAACTCATTACATTACTCCTGATGGAAAAAAAATTGTTTGGTACTCGTTGTTGATTCCTTATCACACCTCTTGGAACCAATTAAGGATGAATACTGAGATACCACACTACTTTATATATATTGTGGCCCTTATTTTTCATTACCTATACAATACTGAGCTTCCAATCATGATTAATAATATTATTAGTGTTGAACAGTCTTGGATGAATAGAAATCCCATATTCTAAGCCAGAAATTCCAGTCTTTTCCATGTGCATGACACAGCTTTTGCACTCCAATCATCAATATCATCCCTGTAAAAGTTTCCCAAATTCACAAAAAGCTTTCTTGATGAAACTTAACAAGCAGAAATAATATAATACAACAGCAACATTTCTATCTGTATGTGTCTACATTTTATTATAGTTAAAATAATATAAAACATTTAAAATATTAGGTCTATCAGGTTAGGCAACCTCTTGATGGCAGCAAAAAGGTATTGAAACCTCAATTTTGCTTATTTTTTATAGATCATATGAATTTTTTGCAGTCCAGATGTTATTATAAGAGTTGTATAAGGTGAATATAAAGCCACAATTTCAGATGTTGCTTCTGGTATCTGATATAATATTCCAACTGCAAAGAATTCAAGTTCAGCATTTTGTTTACTATGTTGGCCAGCCAGAAAAGAAAATCAGAAGCAACATGTAAGGACAAGAATACCCTAATTTTATTTTCCCCCCCAGCAGCTAGTGTCCAGAAATTTACAAATCAGTTACTTCTGATCTCTGATTCAAAGAAGAACAGTTTTTTCCTCACTCCATTTGCAAAGTGAGTCATTGAGCCTTTCCTTGACAACCATCTATACATTATACAAAAATATGCAGGTTTCGGCAATCTGGTGTCCCCAATTAAAATTATTACAATGCATAAATTTATATAAAGTCTGGTTTGCACATAGAATAAATTAGAAATTAAAGTTTGATGTATATTTTTGAATATCAATGGATCAAATTTTTTTTTCATGATCCCAATGGAGTTTTGAAAACGTAAAACCTGACTGGGTATTTGCTTGTTTGCTTAATGAGACAAAGCTGAGGGTGACCATTAGGTTAACCACATACTAAATGGGAGAGGTTGAACTGTAGTTCAGACACTGTTCTATTAAAATCTCAGTGGGATGCCATAGAGTAGACTGTTTTGTGTAATGTTTGATAGTGTTTGCTATGGTATTTGAATTCTGAACCTGGAAACTACTTGCTTCTCTCTGTTTGCTTCTTTATTTTTGTCTTTTGTGGTTATTATATTTGCCTGACTTTTAGGAGTTTGATGATGGCCATTTATCTTGTCTATTTGCTGTGAATATGAAAAGAGCAGATTATCAATTGGTTAAATAAATAATAAGGGCAACCGCAGTGAAGCTACAGCAGTTTGGATGCACAAATTGGATGGTTTGATTCAAGGACCAAACCATCTAAATACCGATGGTTTGAGATTGATTAAGCATATTCTATTTTGGTAAACGGAAAAGAGGTCAATTGACTGACTTCTGCTTGCTTCTCTGGCTGTTTTTCGCTTTTGTCTCTGGAGATATTTGCACATGCCCCACAGATACCAACAAGCTTTAAAGTACATTACTTTTCTTAAATTCCAAAGAACCTTAAGAATAGTTGACTAATGGAGACTATATTTAAACCACAATCATGCTAAATACATTTGTTTTTCTGTGAATTTATATATAGTCTCATAAGACAGAGAAGATTGTGCATCTTAGTTTAAAGAAGTCATAGATGAAGGAATCTGAGCCCTTATCCATCTAACCAATACATGGATTATTACTTCAAGTTATTCTTCCAACTTGGCTCACTTCCAGTGTCTGAGTCATCCCTGGAAAGCAGGACTAAGGATAGAGAAACCAAATAATGGAAACCTTAGCTTTATGTATCAGTGTACACTATTGATATTTCAAGTAGGCTACAGTACTTTATAAATGGATCTTTTAAGCCAGCAGTTGATATGGTTGCCCACACTCTAGCCTCTAATTTCACATGGTCTGTCTCTAGCCTCAAGGTAGCATTAGAACTACATTTGGGGGCTTGAAGGACTGATTTTAGGAATTTGGACTGGACAAGTTCTAATGGTGCAAAATTAGAAAAGGGACCCAGCTGGGCACCATAGAAAAGTTGTGCTATTGGCTTAACTTTAAATAATTTGAATGCTGCAGGAATGTAATGGTCACCTCTTTTCCTGAGGAATTTAAACATAGTAGATGAAATCCTTTAAAAGCAACAAAGTCACCATAGGGATTCTCAGTATTGTCAGAATGTAGGACTACACCAAGATTTTTAAACCAGAAAACCTGCTCAAATTTATTTCCATCTATCCTCCAAGAGTGATTTTTGGGCCTTTAAGCAAATGCCATGATTTTGATTTTCTGATAGTTCACAATAGGTTTTCCCATTTCATCAAATTAACTTCTACTATTGATAGCTGTCTATGTCATCTTCTTTATCCTTTCATTTTCTTTAGTTGCCCACTTGTAATGATTCATCCTCAGTTCAGACATAGAAGAATCATATATTCTTATTTTTATTTTCTTTCCAACAGATATAAGTTTACCAAAATCAGCAACAATATGCTACACAGCTGCCCTTCTCAAAGCTAGAGCTGTCTCTGACAAGTAAGTCTGGAAGAATTCCTGCCTGCTCAAATTTTACTCTGTTAAACATGGCAAAACATTTTTCATAGTTGAAGGTTATTCATCCTGGCAGTAAAGCATTAGGCCTGCCATAAGTCTGCAATATACTACCAAGAATGGATACTGTGGGAACAACAATGAATTCCATATTGTTTAATTGGAAAAAACAGCTAGCCACTTTCTTTCTGCAAGCAAAAGAAGTTTGAATGCCACAAATGTAATTCTGGTAATGTAGTTTTACCAGCAGAATAATAAGTGTGGTGTTGGACTGGGAAGGGGCTTTATTTGAGGCAGATAGACCAAGTGCTTACTGCATAAGAATTCCTGGCAGGCAAGTGATGTCCTTTTAACTTGTATGTAAAACATAATTGTGTGCAGCTCTGAAAGGTGTCTGGCCTGTCATGGTTGCTGTCAAAGCACAGCACCAGACCCAAGGCAGGGTCTGATCAGAGGTGGAAGTGAACCAATCCCAAGCAGTAGACATCCCACCATTGCCATGCTTTCTGAATTCAGCCAAATGGGTGTGGAGCAGGCCGCATGGGAAAGTCTGCTTTCCTTCCTGCTTTTTTCAGAGAGTTTGCTATTGTAGTGTATGTGCACTTCAAGACCTGAGTAATTTTTTTTCTTTCATTCTTTTTGTCCTGTAGATCGCCAGTACCAACTGCAACATCTTTCCTCCCTACACAGCGACTCCAGCTTGGGAGGGCAGGGCTAGGTTTGTCACAGCTTTCCCTGTGGTGGCTGCCTGCCAAGTACAGCTATGGAGTTAGCCGTGGGGTGTGAGGTGAGAAAGAGATTGCATGGTCTGGGTATTTTTCTCCCCATCTTCCACTCTCTGGGGCAGATAATATTTGCCCTCAGTTTGGGTACATGGTCAGGAATGGATGCAGCTGGGAGCAGATCTCCTGCTGCTGCTGCTGCTGCTGCACCAGGCTTTCAACTCAACTTGTCTCAATGGCATTGGGTTGAGAAGTCCTGAAGCCATCCTAAAATGTAATTTATAAATTTACTGGGATTTTTTTCCCCACACCTCCCCATATCCCCCTCCCAGCCCGGAGATTTTGGTCCAGATTTTAAAAACAAACACATAAAATAAATTTAGATTAGCAGGCAGACAGAAATAGAACATGGACTGCTTGAACATTATTATTATAAGTTTCAAACATGCTTTTGACTTCTGCTGGGATTTTTAATATCTCTATAATTTAGTTGTTTGGATGTTTTTTGCCATGGAGGTTTGATAAGAGCTAAGGGAACTGGTTCAGCTGATTTCAAAGACCCCTTTGACTTAGTTCTTCCTTTTATGTTTCTTTGCGATGCCAAAATTAATCTTCATGCTTCTCTTCTCTTTGTTTTGTATAGGTTTTCTCCAGAGGCAGCTTCAAGAAGAGGTCTAAGCACAGCAGAAATGAATGCAGTGGAAGCTATTCACAGAGCAGTAGAATTTAATCCACATGTGCCAAAAGTGAGTTGTTGTGAATCTCTACTACTATTTGGTATAAGAATCAAAATGAATTTAAGTAGCAACTTAATTGCCAAATGGTGTCCCCTCATATGAAAAAAATATCCAATCCAGTCACTTAGAACAAAATTCTCTTTTGCCTCCGTTTTTTGTCATCTTTTCTCCTTTTCTTCATAATTGATTTTTTTGGATGTCCTTTACATTTCTTGTTGTGCCTTTAATCAAATATAATGCTGACAGAAATATGCACACAGCTTTTGATTATTGACATGTAGCATTAAGTTGGAATAAAATTCAATTCACTTGGTTTTTCTTCTGAATAAATGTGGGTGAGCTTGTCAGCGTAGTTTTAGACAGCTATTCTTAGCTTACTCATAAGATTTAAAGAGTTCAATAGAGATAAGAAAATACAATCCCATAGTTGCATCCTATCTGCTGGGTCAGTGACCATCTGCCATTATTGGAAGCCAAAGTAGTAATAAGTTACTTTTCAGGGAAGAACTTTGGCAAAACAAGGAGGATGTGGCCAGGGAAGAATGTGACTTCATTTTAACAATCATAGAATCAGAAATGAAATGGGGATGGATACAATATGGCAAACAATAAAGAGAAGAAATTGTAGTTAGCAGTCAAGTTTTATTTTAATTGCCCAAAGTATTTTGGATTTAGAGGTGTTTAGAGGACTTTCAAGATGACGAATCTCTCCATTCTCAAGATCTTGGCTCGTACTAGATTCCATCCCCTTTTGGATGGTTATTGTTACAGCTAAAATGTACTTTGTTTGATAAATCTTGTGTTTGTAGTAATAAAGCATATATATAATGTTTCTGTGTGAGATTTGCTTGATGCTGAAGCTTTTGCATTGGGCCAGCATTTGTAAACTGACCAGCTTGATACAGATATATTGTAAATAATTTCTGTGCAATTGCATTTTTTTTTCTTTTTCTTCTGTAATGCAATCTGCCAGGTCTGTCTTCTGTCTTTGTCACTCTGTTGCACCAATTACAGTTGCCTAAATCTTCCCATAGATCTTTTTAAACCTCAGGATCTGTTTTTTGAATTTGAGTAATACTTCCTGTGTCCCTCCTTTTCTTTCAAACCTTTTATGGGACTTTCCTGCTTTAGCTATTAAGACTTTTCAAAAGTGTTGAGTAATCCTTTTTTTTTTTCATTTCCTTGTTCTTTTAATCAGAATGTAAAACTCTATTAGGTGGATGGTCAATTCAACTAGAATGTCAAAATGTGAATTTAAAACTTCTGCTCCATTATTCATGTTACATAAGTAAGAGTCAGAATTTCACAATGTGAGTTGTTCTGAAATTTACTTATAAAGCTATCCTTAAAATGTTTGTTTGTTGTTTCTTTTATATGCTGGCCTTCATACTGCAAAAAGAAGAGGGACATTTCTGTGCTTCACTAACACTATTTCCTTTTCTGTATTTGATCCATAATATAGTTTAGAAGAAGACTCAAAACACGTCTTCTCACTCAGAACTTTTCAAGTTTTGTGCATGTTAGATTTTATTACGATATTATGATATTACATCTCTGTAAACCACTTGGTGTTGTGGAAATGAGTAGCATACTGTATACTGTGTATATAAGCAGCAAGTACACTGAGAATAAATATGGTGAGAAGTCAAAGCTCGGAACCAGTTTGTATCAGCATCCAAGCCAGGCACCCTGAGAAAGAATATGGATTCTCAGCATTCCCAAAACACTTTGGCGAGTTCCGATTGGCTGAAGACAGACTGTCATTGGGAGTAGGGGGGGCTTGGATTAGGGGAAACTTTTCTGTATCTTTTGTTTGCAGGAAACCCAGAGCTAGCCTGACTTTACTGCAGCCATGGTCCCTCGGGATCGGGAAAAAGGAAGAGTGGGAAGAGAAGCCCATGGGAGAGACACTCGCCCATGGGAGCCATGGCATCTGCTGGCAGGAGACGTGAGTAGAGCTGGAGGAGTTGGAGGAAGAAGCAATCGCAGGCGAGCTGGATCGTGAGGACTGGATGCTGGAGCAAGCCATAAAGTTCCTGAGCAGGGATTTTGGCAACCTCAAAACATGAGAAGGCCTTAGCACACCCTGCTAACCAGCCAGCTCTGGTTATGGTGAGCGATGGAGCAACCATGTCTTCCGCCACAATAGCAGCAGCAGTGGGCCCCACAGCAGCGGCAGCTGGCCCTGCATCTGGCCCCACAGCCCAGCCTGCCCTGGCTATAGTAGCAGCAGCAGTGCAATGGAGAGACACTAGCCCTAGCCGTAAAGTTCAACAGAGACCCAAAGAAGTTGGGGTTCTTCTTACTGCATGTCTGGACATACATGCAAGAGTATGGTCCAGAAATGGCCACCAAAGGGGCCAAGGTGCGGTGCGTGACCAAGGCATTGGAGGGTACCACAGCTGAATGGATGGTCATCCTCCACACCGATGTCTCAGAACTGAGAAATTTTGACTGCTTCATGGCCATCCTTCAGAAGAGCTTTGAAGGCCCCTTATTGCAAATTGCAAAGCCAGAGACCACATAAAAACCATCAGCCAAGGGCGCAGGGAAGAGGCCGAATACACCCAAGAGTTTTGCGACCTGGCCTGCTAACTGACCGACTGGCCAGAAGATGGTTCTGATGCTTCTAAAATGGGTTAATCAACAATGTCTACAACACCTGTATCTCCAGGGGTGCCCCCCCCACACTTCATGGCTGATATGTCCTAGCAGAAGAAGTGGAAATTGACCTGGCTCAATCCAAATACCGTCTGAGCCCTGGATAGCGAACATCCTTCCCTGAAACAAAAGAGGCTCCAAAACTGCCAGCATGCGAGCAGAGTCCACACTGATGATTCCCTGGCTGCTTCAGGTGTGGGAAGGAGGGGCACTGAGCTGTTGACTGCTAAGCTGCATCCTAACCCAGAAGGCAGTTTTGAGTACTGCCAAAATATTGGCAAAACCACCACAGAGAAACCACAAGACAGTCCTGAAGGGAGTAGAGGTCGTAGAGTGCACCCCATCCCCCAAGGATGGTGAGAGAATTCCGACTGGCCCAGTGGACAGTCCAGCAAGAAGCAAATCATACTACAATGATGATCCCTTGGTAAGTCGCCCAGGCAACCCAGTGACCATCCCCATAGAACTGGTGGCTCAATCCTTGGGTGCAAATGGAGGCTAGTAGCCTTCTTGGACTTGGGGTGCACCAGATGTCTCGTTAACCTTGCCCTAGTCGATAAATTGGGCATGAGATTCAGACAACTTAGTGCCCATAGCTTTTTGCCAGCTGGACAGCTCAGTGGCAGGGGGATCCCAGCGACATTTATCACTGAGCCAATAGAGGTGAGGATGGGCACACACGGTGACCCTGAGCTTTATTGTGGCCCCTGGCATGAAGAAACCCCTTGTGTTAGGACTCTCTTGGCTTCTGAAGTGGAACCCCTGTGTGAACTGGAGGAGATCTGGTGGGCTAGCTGCAAAGGGGGATGGGAGAAGGACCATAAAAAGCCTACTCTTAAGCTGCTGCGGGGAAAACCAAAAAGTGAGGTGGGAGCAGCCGCCAAAGACCGGCCCCAGGGCAATCATCAGATACCCAAAGAGTACTGGGATTTATAGGACGTTTTCAGTGAAAAGAGGTCAGATGCGCTCCCACCCCACCAGCCAACCGCCTATTCCATTAAAATCTTACTACGGGCCAAACTACCTAAACCTAAGCTGTATTTCATGATCCCTAGGAATTGGAGGAACTACAGACTTTAATAGAGAAAAACCTGAAGCGTGGTTTCATCCAGCCCACCAGACTGAGGGTAGCTGCCTTGTTACTATTTAGGGAAAAGAAGGATGGGTCTCTTCATCAGTGTGTTGACTATCGGGGGGTTGATGCTGTCTGTATGGAAAATGTCTACCCCATCCCTTTGATGAAGGACATTCTAGCACATTTGGCCAAGGGGAAGGTCTTCACCAAATTGGATTTGTGGAAGGCGTACTGCCAGGTTAGGATCAAGGCGGGATGAGTGCAAAACGGCTTTCAATTGCTACTTAAGATGTTTCCAATTCTGAGTCTTCCCTTTCGGTCTGCAAGGGGGCCCTGTTGTGTTCATGCAGACAATAAACAAAGTGCTGCATGAGCACCTGTACAAGGTGTACAAGGTGTACAAGGGAGAGTTAGTCTACCTGGATGGTGTTCTGGGCTACCGCATTTCCCATGAGGGGATAGAGATGGATCCTGAGAAGGTGCAAGCAGTGCTAGAATGGACTCCTCCCTGCACCCGGAAGCAATTACAAAGCTTCCTGGGATTTGCGAACTTTTATCACCATTTCATTCCCTCGTTCTCCCAGATAGCCCTCCCCATCATCAACCTGCTAAAGACAAAAGAGGAGGGAAAGGCCAAGCCCAGCCAGCTGCTTAAATGGACTATGGAATGCCAAGCCGCATTCGAAAAGCTTAAGCACCTATTTGTAGCGGAGCCAGTGCTGAAACACCCAGATCCTAATGCTCCCTTCGTTATTCAGGCTGACACCAATAATGTAGCAGTGGGAATGGTTTTTCTGCAGGAAAACGAGCAGGGGTCCTACAGCTGTGCACCTACACTTCTACATAGTTTAATGAGACAGAGAGTGGAGATGGGCAGTTTTGGAGAAGGAAGCCTATGTGGTGCGCTGGGCTCTCCTAACTTGGAGACATTTCCTAGCAGGGGAAAAAAACCATTTGAAATATGGACTGACCATAAGAATCTGGAGGCTCTAACCCCTCCCCACCCCTGAGGTTATTGCCCAAATAAGTTTGTTGGACTCAGTACTTAAACCGCTTCCTCCTAGGGGGCGGAAACTTCCTAGTAGATGCTTTATCCAGGCTATTGCAATACAATAGTTCAAAACTGGAGGTGATTAAGGCGGTTATCCCCTCCAGTCACTTCCCGGGCAAAGGCCAAAATGAAAACTGAAATAGCCAATGATCTAAAGGGTGTGCTAAAGGCAGCTTTGAAGGAAAAGAAAAGGTGAATGTACAATGCGTAGGGGCCAAACTATACATCCCACAAAGCCAACAGTTAATGGTTCTACAAAAAGCCATGATTCAAAAGTGGGACACTTTGGCTTCGTAAAAACTCTACACCTTATGAAGTGGCAATTTTGGTGGTCATCACTGAAGAAAGACAGAGAGAGTTATGTAGCTGCCCTATTTGTGCCTCCACCAAGAAGTGACAAGGGAAGACACAAGGGATTCTCCAGCCAGTAGCAGAACCTAAAGCCCTATGGAAAGAGATATCAATGGACTTTATAGAACTGCTCCAAAACTCAGGCAATACAGTAATTTGGGTGATAACCGACTTGTTTTCCAAACAAGTGCACTTTATACCCTGTAAAAAAAATCCCCTCTGCCCGCACATTGGCTAAGTTTTTCATGCAGCACATCTACTGGCTGCATGGTACTCTAGCAAGAATAATCTCAGATTGCAGAGTCCAATTCATGTCACGATTTTGGCAGGAGTTCCTAAAACTTTTGGGCACCACTCGGCCTCAGTTCCTAGCATCATCTGGCTACTAATGGTGCCTGTGAATGTACAAACGGGGTATTACATTATCTGTTGGAGCAGTATCTCAAGTGTTACATTAATTATTAACAAGACAATTGGGAAAACCTTCTCCCTTTCACGGGAGTCGCCTACAGTAACGCAGTACACAAAAGCACCAGGTTCATTCCATTTAAAGTTGCCACAGGTCAGGACTTTGTATCTATCCCTGAGGTGCCTTTGCCCCCCCCCCCATCACTAAAAAAATGGGTCACTACCAGTGGTGGGTTGCTCCTGGTTCGCATTGGTTCACAAGAACCACTAGTAAAAATTAGTAGTAGTTCGGAGAACTGGTAATAACATTGGCTGGCCATGCTCCCAAACTGGTCCTGGCCTGGTTGCCGCTCGCTTACCCTGCCCACCTCATCAGAGGCTTTTTTTTTTATTATTTACTTTTAAAAGCATTTTTTCTACAACTTCTTCGGCCGAAAAAATGCTTTTAAAAGTAAAAAAAAAAAAAAAAGCTCTGATGATCGCGCGGCTCAGCTGTTATCATCAGAGGCTTCTAAAAGCATTTTTTTCTGCAACCTTTTTTTTTCTCCCCACAATTGTAATATCTTAATCTAAACATTTACCTTTTTATTGTATCACCACAAATCTTAATTTCCAAATAACACAACTCAATATTTAATTACAATTATTGCCCTAAATTCTATCTATATACCCATATCCTAGGACCCATTACATTAAATCTTTAAATCCTAATCTCTTTTAACTTGCATCTATATTTCTTAAGCTTCTCACACATTACACTCTTCGTTTTACACAAAGTCATTTCATTATTACAATCTTATTATCTTCATTTTACTATTCATATCAACATATTCACCTTTATTTTCATAATCATTTTATTATTACCATCAATTCCATCTTAAATCTATTTGTCTCTTGATCATCTTCTTTTGGCTGTTTTCCAGCATATTCATTTATTATTTGGCTGTTTCCCAGCATAATCATCTATTGTTTTGGCTGTTTCACAGCATATTCATCTATTATTTGGCTGTTTCCAGCATATTCATTAAGCATATTCTTAATTTTACTATTTATATCTGTGTAATCCCCTATTTTATTTTACCTTCCATCTATACATTATTTAATCATATTGTCATTCTTAGCTTTGTCTGCAATTTAACATTGAGACATCAGACACATCCCCATATAAATCAATAAAATTTATTGGATTCTTCTCATATTCATATTCATTCTTATTTATCAATACTATCCATCTTTACTTTGTTTTTCTATTTTAATTACATTGTTTTATTTTCCATCCTTATACATCTATAAACACCTCCTTTTTATAATTAATATTCATCTAAACATTACATTTTCATTTTTAATCAAACTATTTTTATATTCTTTTTTCCCAACCGTGTATATTTTATTTCTTCATTTCCTTGTCTAGCAACATATATTCCATTTCAAATTCAGTGTTCCCAAATTTAATTCTCCATGTGTCATTTTATTTCTTTTTGTTACTTCTATTCCATGTAAAGTACATCGACTTTCCTTCTTTTGTTCCTGCGCCAATCAGTAACAATTATAAAAGTTCCGTTGTATTTCCTCTTTCTTTCCACCAAAGAAGCCGTCTGTAGACAAAGAAGAGACCTCCAGCACCAAAATCCCATGGCTATTATTTATAATTTCAGAGTGTTCCAAAACAAACAGCAAGTTACAATGTTTCTTTTTACAGCAGGTGTATCTCTGCAATCCACACTTTCCCTTAGTCACTCCAGTATCCATTTTGTTGCAATTATGTAACAGTCCAATTTAACTCTCTTCTTCTCTTGAATTTTAAAAGTGTTGAATCCCTACTTTTTTCTTTTTTCAAAGTCCAATTCTAATTTGAGAATTTTTTCCAGTCTCTTCAGCATGCCTCAATGTTTAATTGTTCCAATTGAATCTATACCAAAATAAATTTCCTAGCGGGTCTTTCCTCCTGAAGTTACTTTTCAAAATCTTCTATGCCCCTCAAATCCACAGCCGCTGTTTTAAGGCTAGGGGTCTTACAAGTATCAATCATTGCTTTAGTGTTGTTTCAAACCTAGGTTGGTGTCACTCACCCGGCTTCAAAGAGCTTCATTCTTTTCCTCTTTCCTCCTGCTCATCTCTTAGTTCGATTTGTCCCAGCTTCGTGGCAGCCGCCATGGCTGCCGCCCCCCACTGCCGACTCACAGAGAGTTCCCTCTGACCTCCGAGGAACTTGCCTGTTCCTCTTGGTCGTCCGAGGCACCTCTCTTCCTACCCCGTCCCTACAGGACGGTTCTGGTCCGAAGACTCATCGGCGGCGGTTTGGCAGTCGGGTTTTTCGTGGGACTCCTCCGAGCCCGCTATTTCCCCGGCTGTCTCGCCACGATGTGAAACCGGAAGTCTTTTCTGCAACCTCTTAAGGTTGTAGAAAAAATGCTTTTAAAAGTTAAAAAAAAAAACTTGGCCACGCCCACCCAATCACATTACCCCCACCAAGCCACGCCCACAAAATAAGCCACGCCCACAGAACCGGTAGTAAAAAAAAAATTAGAACCTACCC